AATCAGCATTATTTATTTTGAATCGTCTTGTCTTAAGAAGCTCCTAACGAGACCACAATTACTGTACAAATTTAAGGAAAGTGCCAGCCCCACAAGCCAGAGATGCGTATTCTGATTGCCCGTGCAAAGTGAATTCATAGAAGTTGTAAAGATTAACTTCACTCTTAAATGTGTGTGTATGTGTGTGGAGAGTTAACCAATTGGATAACTTAGCAACATGAATGAAACCAAGAGAATGTAATCCATTAACTGATTTAATTAGTAAACAGGAAAGGATCACAAGAAGACTTCATGGTCTAATGGTGAACAAACAGATACGACTTGTAAAGCTAGGCACTGGTGGCTCATGCCTGTGATCATAGCTACTCAGGAAGTTGAGATTTGAGGACTGTCATTCAAAAGTCCGTGACTCTTATCTCCAATTAACCACCTGAAAACAGCACATGGTACTGTAGCTCAAGTGGTACAACGATCGCTTTGAGCAAAAGAAGCTCAGGATCAGTACCCACGCCCTGAGTTCAAGTACTATAACTGACAAAAAAAAAAGTGTAGGGCTGGGAAGGTGGCTCAGTGGTAGAGCGCTTGCCTTGCATGCATGAGGCCCTGGGTTCGATTCCTCAGCACCACATAAACAAGAAGAAAAAAGCTGGAAGTGGTGCTGTGGCTCAAGTGGTAGAGCGCTAGCCTTGAGCTGAAGAGCTGAGGGACAGCGCCCAGGCCCAGAGTTCAGGCCCCACGACCGGACCAAAAAAAAAAAAAAAAGTGTAAATCCATGAATGAATGAGGTGAAGATTGTTTGGTCTTGACAGCAATCTAAGTTATCTACACCGGGACATTATCTGCCTCTAGAAGGAAAGACACATGGTATTCCTGTCTTATCTCTTACATATTGGTCAACCACTATTCAACTTTTCTTCATTTTCTCTAAAACCTAGAGACAGTGATACATTTCCCATGATAGGAAAGATTTGAGGTGTTTGCATAAATGGCTATTTCTGCAACTTTTCTGATTGAGCTGTGATGTATTTCTGCAAACAGAACCTGTACCTCCTCTTTCTCTGAAGGTCAGATCCTCATAGTCCTTTATTGTATTTGCTTAAGTGGTAATAATAAGGTGAGCACTAAAGAAAACCAAACAGGTGAAATTAGAAGATGGGCTGGGATGCATTCTGACATCCCATATACATTCTGGCATAAAGTTAGGCAATCTTTGTAACTCCTTAATTGGTGGAATAAGGGTTTTCCATTATACAAAAGTCTTTCATTCTAAAAACCTTTCAATCAGGTTTGTCATATCCATGGATATAAAAATAACACACACACACACACACACACACACACACACACACACACACACACACACACATTCCGGGTTCTTTCCTAAGAACTTCAGATATATTAATTCATTTAAACTTCACACTAACAAAGTGATGTTGGTACCATTCTCACATTATTATGCAGATGCAGAAATTCAGGCCCAGAGAAGTAGCTTCATGAAGACAATACAGTCAGTAAGTAATGACTGTGGATTTCAACCCACATATGAGGGTTCCAGGATTTACATTGTTATTAACATTATCCTGAAATTTATGTAAGTTTTCCCTGATACAAAGACCCAACTAAAAATGTCTCCTTTTTTTATAGCTACCTCAAAAGAAACCTTCTGACTAAGCCACAAATGAAAACCAACATCATCACCATAAACAAAAGGTTATTATTAATACTAAAAGAAAAAAAATGAGGTTATAAATTTTAAGAAATAGGCAATTATGAATTTTAGCATAATGAAGCAATACTTATTTAAATAATAATTCACAACATAAGTAACAAAAACCATTTATTTTAATCATGGTCAACTAATTTATAACGAATAATGTATATATTATAGTGGTTAATTATAATCCAGTTGTTAATGATAATTGTATTAGTACATTTAAGTCATTTTAGTGTAACAAACAGGGCTGGACTGACTTTTCCCTGACAGTAGAATGAGTGTGCTAGACAGCAAAATGATATAGACATTAGTCTAGGGTTCTATTCACCATACTGCAGAGCAGAAGAAACTAAAAATGACAGTAAAAATTATCACTGGGACTCCTAAGACCTGATTTGAGCTGAATTAAAGGAACTTTCCAGGTCCTAACCAAGTCAAGGACAGTCTAGTCACCTCTACAGATGGCAGAAGTGATGTTACAGAGTAGTCAATATAAAGCAATTAATGGATGCCACAGAGCAGGTCAAAGGTGAGTCATTGAAGTCTAATGTCACATTGCTTTCCTGGACATCAGGGCCTTCTCCATTTGTATGCAGGCTTTGTGTAATTCCATCATCCAGGTGAAGATTATGGTGGAGAGAGACATCAGAAAGACCAAACATTTGCCCAAATATACCAAGTTGCTCAAAGGCAATGAGTCATTTCAACCAGAAGACATGGAAATATTCAATTGACAAATTTAATTCTCTCCTCCCCTCGGTGAGCAACATGAGGAAGAGTGAAAGATCAGTAACAACAACAAAAATGAACTATGTTTCTTTGCCTCTCAAATTGGTAGTTTAAAATTCTGACTTTGACTTTTCCCCCTTTTCCTTTTACGACTTCATTCATTCTTTTATTTTTTTTCCTTCCTTTTTCATATTTACTTTCTTCCTTGACTCTTTCTCTCATCCTTCCTTTCCCTACCTTTTAGTCATTTAGCAGTTAATGCATTCCACTCCTGTAGCTGGTATTTTAATAGGTGCATGGATAATAAGTGCATGGAATTTAACAGCCCTGCCTCAGAGCTATGATAGTTCAATGGAGGAATGAAAAGCATGTAAATAAAGAGTCCTATATCACAACATAATGAGTGCAGACACAGGTGTGCAGACACAGGTGTGTATGAGGTATTGTAAGTGAGGTGATCGAGGGACTGCTTCCCGGCACATAGAATATATCTCAGGGTTGAAAATGATTTTGTCATGCTCTGTAGACAATATAATTATCTATGGTTTGTTTTAAAAAAAAAATCTCCAAACAAAGTCTAAAGAAGTGATAGAGAGAAGTAGATTTTTGGCAGGGTGTCGATTGGGGGCCTGAACCCTGGGCCTAGGCATTGTCCTTCATCATTTCAGCTCAAGGCTAGCACTCTACCACTTGACCCACAGAGCCACTTCTGGCTTATTCTGCTTATGTGATGCTGAGGAATCGAACCCAGGGCCTCATGCATGCAAGGCAAGCACTCTGCCACTGAGCCACCTTCTCAGCCTGAGGAGTAGATTTGATCAAAGTACTTTATATGCATGGGAAATATCACAATGAAACCTCATTGTAAAATTAATATATGCTAATAAAGAAAAAAGAAGTGAGCAAGAAAAGATGCTTGTGTATCCAAATAATATAGAGTTGTATAGAGCATTACATTTCTATATACCAGAAATGAATATTAGAATATGTGCTTGCATGAAAACCAAATTAATGAGTTAGCCAAGAAAAGGTGTGCAGAGATTGCAAGTTAAAAAATATAGTGTGAAAGAACCAAGCTGTATCTAAACACAGACATATATTCAATGGTTGGAAACTTTCATATAATTAATTTATTACATTTCAGTTTCATCTATCAGCTCAACTCAATAGTGCTCAAAATCCCAGCAAGCTCTTTTGGGAAAGTAATGACAAGCTGAATTCTAAAATATGCATACCACAAACAAAAGAAATAGAATAATCAAAACAATTCTAAAAAGAAGAAAAAAGTCAGAGGATCTACACACTACTTTGTTGCTTGATTTTTAGACTTACTTGAAGGTGTGATTATCAAAACAGTGTAGTTTAGACAAAAGGACACATATATCAATCTATGATGACAAAAGAAAGATACTATAAATAAACTCACAAACATAATCAACTGATATTTTACCAAGATACAAAGCAAATTCTATGCAACAAGTATGACTCTTTAAGAAAGTGAATCTAGAATAATTTGATCTTCACATGGAGGGAAAAAGCCTTGAGGTAAATCTTACAGAATATGCAAAAATCAACTCAAAACTCATAAATCTCATAAAGACACAATACAAAAGAATCATGGCATATAAAAATCCTAGAAAGGACAAAAATATGTGTGGCTTTGGACTTGGTGATGAATTTTTAGAGACTATTGGAAAAATCACAAACCAAAAAAGTTTGTAAATTACACTACATCAAAATAAAAAGTAAAACATTAAGCAAAATATTAGTAAGACAATGAGAAGACAAGCCATCAATACAATTTTAAATATATATTTTATTGTAAAGATACTGTACAGAGGGCTTACAGTTACATGAGTAAGCTAATGAGTACATTTCTTACCAAGCATTGTTACCCCCTCCTTTGTTTTTCCCCTACCATCTCTCCCAAGTTGCAAAGTTTGTTTTCAACATACTGTCTTGTACATTTCATTGTTACAATGGGTCAACCTGTATCCTGTTTAAGCATTTTGTTATTTCCCTTCCCCTCCCCAAATTATAAAAATGTGTATACAAGATGCAGGGCACCAGAATCAAATATGAAAATGGGGGAAGAACATGTAAAAGAAACAAAAAAAACCCACATAGTACATTAAAAACAGCAGCAACAAAGATAAAACCTTTTGAGATTCATTTCACTTAGCATCATCTTATATGGTCATATGTACATAGCTTTTGACCTTTTCTGCTTGTCTCAGAAATATACTAGTTATTGCAAATAAGGGAAACCATGGGACCTATGTTTCTTTGGGACTGGCTTACTTCACTTAATATAATTTTTTCCAAGTCTTTCCATTTCCTAACAAATGGGGCAATGTCATTCTTTCTGATGGGGGCATAGAATTCCATTGTGTATATATACCACATTTTCTTGATCCATTCATCTACTGAGGGGCATCTGGGTTAGCTGTGGTAAATAATGCTGCAAAAAACATAGTTGTGCTGGTAGCTTTAGTATGGTCTTGTTTGTGATCCTTTGGGTAAATGCCCAAAAGTGGGATTGCTGGGTCATAGGGGATAAAATAGGGAACGCTTCCTGAATTTGCGTGTCATTCTTGTGCAGGGGCCAAGCTAATCTATGTATCGTTCCAATTTTAGTATATATACTGCCGAAGGGAGCACCAATTCATACAATTTTTAAGGAGCTTGTATCCATATATGTTTTTAAAGAATCTTTAAAATTCAACAATAATTGAACACACAACTAACAAATCATAGGCAACACTTTTGAACAGGAAGATATAGAGATGGAAAATAAGCCTATGGAAAGACGCTAAACACAATTTTTTCCATATATTTTTATTGTAAAAATACTGTACAGAGGGGTTACAGTTACATGAGTAAGGTAATGAGTACATTTCCTATTGAGCATTGTCAGTTCCTCCTTTGTTTTTCCCCTACCATCCCTTCCCTCCCACCTCTTCAACTCCCCTCTCCCCCACTCAGCCCCCAAAATTGTAAAGTTTGTTTTTAATATAGTGTCTTGTACATCTCATTGTTACAATGGGTCAACCTGTATACTTATTTAAGCATTTGTTATTTCTCTTCTCCTCCCCTAATTAGAAAAATGTATACACAAGAGGCAGGACACTGACATCAAATATAGTGAAAACAGGGGTTATCTCATGGGGAAAGAACATACAAAAGAAACTAAAAAATCACATAGTACATTATAAACCAATACCATTTAAAAACAATATCAAGAAAGAAAAAAATTGTAAACATATTAATGAAATGAAAATGTAAACCATAAGTTGCTACTATATACCTATTAGAATGACTAAGCAATTTTTTTGTCTGTTGTAGGGATCGAACTCAGACACTGGGTGCTGTCCCTGAGCTGACTAAGCAATTTTTAAGGAAACTAAAAATACAAATCAGTGATGAAAATATGGAACATTGATGGCTATTGAAATGATAAATAGGACAGCTATTTTGACAGATTCGGAAACATGCAAACAATTCTACTTCTAAGTATTTACCCAGTAAAATGAAAATTCACATCCACAAAGAATCCTAAACTCAAATTTTTATATAACAGCATTTTAGGCAAAAAAGAAAGCAAGAAAGAATAAATGAAAGAAAAGAGAAAGAAAAACAGAAAAAGAAACTACCAACATACCTTTAATCAGTGAACAAAAACCAAACAGATACAGTAAAAGAATGCAGTACTACTCAACAATACAAAGTAAACTGATTCTTTTAAGTGCCTGAAAGACAACTAAATTCATTTTTCTAAGTGAAATTGGCCAGACTCCAAAGGCCATAAATAAACTGCATTATTCTATTCATGATTATGATTTGGAAAAATCAAAGCCATAGGAGCAGAAAAGTTACATTTCATCTTATGCTCAAGTGTTAACTTACCCCACCTACTCTCTCTATGTAGAGAATTTAGATTTTGCTTAAGAACAGACCTTGGGGCTTACAGTTGAGGAGACTTGGCCCCTATTTTGACAGTCTCTTAGCAATACATTACCCCTCCCTTGCCATAATGGTTGAAATGCATGCATTCTTAAGGCACACACACCTAAAATACTCTCCTTCTTATTTCTTAACCTCCTATTCTAGAAAAGACACAAAACTTAGTTGTGTGTGTATATATATGTGTGTGTGTGTGTCTGTATATATATATATATATATATATGTGTGTGTGTGTGTGTGTATATATATATGTATATATGTGTGTGTGTATATATATATATATATATATATATATATATATACTTGTAAAGGCCAGATGCTGGCCTTTTCAGTATTACTGTAATAATTTTCTTTCTTTTAGAGGAGAGAAAAACATTCTTTGTAGAAACAGTATAAGCAATAGACCTGTAAAGCTCTCAGACAGGAGGAAAAATATCAAAGAAAAGACTGAGTGCAAATTAATAAAGCATAAAACACTTGTACCATAAAAATAACCTGGAGAAGTATCATTAGTGTTGCAAATTACTACAAGAGTAATTATCCCCAAGATGTTCTGGCATTTGCCACATCTTGATTGCAAAGGCCTGACAAAATGTGGTAAGGAGATAAAACTGTCAGTCCTCAAATGTTTTGCGGGAGGGTATAAAGGTTGAAAACTGAGACAAAACTCTCTGAACAAACAAGACCAATGGCAGGGTGTTTTCGGTGGGTATGTGATACAAATAGTTGAATGCATAGCATAATTGGCTGGAGTGTTATTGGGAGGAAAAGAAAAATGTAAGTTTCCTCTCCTAGTACTGTGGAAATGATGCTTTCCTTGGACTAATGTCATTTGGCCATCCAAGGTCTCACCAATCTCAGGGATATACACATGTGGTAAGACCAGATTGTCAGGGGACTCCCTGGATCGCCCATTTCAGACAGTCATGGCAGGAAAGCATATTCTGTGAAATGAGAGCCATCCAAACCACTAACATACCAGCTTAAGAAGGGATTATGTGATATGATAATAAAGTTGAGTTTATGGGAGACTCAAGAGTGTATATATATAAATAAAATTTTGAGGACAGTTCAATCTTGATCCTGATTTTTAACAATTCCTAAACTGTTCCCTAATTATAAATTAGAGAAACAATATATCTCACTTCTGATCTAATTGAGATCGATTACTAATTCTTGTTGTCCTAAAAGGATCTGTACAATACTGAGAAAAGCATCTTTTTCTCCTAATGTTATCTGTACATAGATCAGGTGTTTCTGACAAGTTCTGTTCTACTTGGCTAATAGTTATTTTGGCTCAGTGCATTAGAAGTAAGCAAATCCTAATATAATTTCAGTGAAACATGTTGGTGGTTTACACGCTGTTGTGTTATTAGCCAAGATGGATTCTTCTGTTTTTTAGGACTATACTATTCATTGAATTCTTCTTTTAGGAAGAAACTGAAATTACTAATATTTACATAAAATTATGTCTTACCCAACACTTTCAAATAGATCTTGTTTTGGAATTTTCCAGATGCTATTGGGAAATTTGATGATATTTATACTGGAGATGAGGAGATTAAAGTTTCTGAAAATCGTTGGATCAAGACACTTGTTCAGTGACAGCAATCCTGGAGTTCTACCCATGTGGCATAAAACTGTAGACAAAGCAGGAATCGGTGATAAAGTCTAACGTTGTTCTATGTCAGAATAAAGTTGATGCCATCTTGCCCTCCAAACCATTTGGGAACAGGTAGTCTAAATGGTAATTGAAGCTCCATTTCACAGAGTGAGAGTATGAGAGAAGCTGTTTGAAAGATGATTAGCTTTTACATTGAACACAGGACTATTTAAAAATAAGTGTTCATTCAATATGAGATGTAGGCATGTAAAGAATTATTACATAGTTACTTGAGAGGTGGAATTCAGGAGGATCTCAGTTTGAAGCCAGCTCCAGCAGAAGAAGTTAGCAAGACATCCATCTTAGCCAATTGACTGAGCAGAGTCTCACACACCTCTCATCCCAGCTACACAGAAATAGGGGGATCATAGTTCAGGCCAGTCCAGAGAAAAACATGAAACTGTATTTGAAAAATAACTAAATTACAAAGAGGTAGAGGACTTGGCTCCAGTAGTAGAGTGCCTTCTTAAATGGCCCGAGGCTCTAAATTCAAACAACCTTACCAAGAAGAGGAGGAGAGGAGGAAGTAGAAGGAAAAAGAAAGCAAGAATTTAAAAAGGAGGAGAGGAAGGAAGGACAGGAGGAAGACAGGAAGGAGAGGACAAAGAAGGAGGAGGAAGGGCTGGAGCAAGAAAGGAAAGGAGGAAAGGGAGGAAGAAAGAGGAAAAGAAGGGAGGAAGGGGAGGAGAAGGAAGAAAGAAAGAAGAAGGGAAAGGAGGAAGTGGAGGAGGAAGAGAAAGAGAAGGAGAGGCTGTGATCCAGATTTGGGGACTCTAGCTATAGAGTTACAGGTATTATAGAATTAAAGGTCTTAGAATGAAAGACTCCTAAGTGAACAAGTTTATTGCTATAAACTGGATTGTGGAACACAGGTACAAATTCAAGGAACAGCAGTGTTACTCACCCTTGACTTACAGCTTTATAACCACTGTCATACCATAGAAAGAAGCAAGGAAGCAATGCTCTGCTCCTGAAGTACTACCCGGTGAACAACAAAAGAGTGTGTTGTAGCTTGTTTTGTGTTGCAGAGTGATAAAACATGACATTTAGACTTCAGCTCTTTAGATACTCCCTTGGGCTGTGTTCAGGACACAGAACAGCTGTATGTATAATTAAATAAAACTAATTTAAATAAATTAGGTTTACAAGAAAAATCTCTGGAAGTTTGCATTTATGAAAAAAATTTAACATAAGAAGTTGTTAGTACTATTTGTCCAAACTACATATTTTGAAAATGGTCAATTCCGGGACAAGGAATACATTTTAACGTAACAAAATGACACATTTTTTCTCTCCAACTTCATCTTGAAGGTGCAATTTTTCTGATATGTTACACAGATGAATTGTGAGAGAATATCTGTACTATAATTGTTACTGTAGCACCAGGAAAGAAAATGACATAGAATAAAAAATTTCCCCCTTCCCCTCCCAGGTTTCTTTTATACATAACACATGTTTCTTGGAAACGTGACTACTCTCCTTTCTGGTAGAAGCTGCATACATATCAATATTTAGGTGAGACTCTATATTAAAAAACAGTAGTCAGAGGTTACATTTACTCCTAAGCTTGAAAGGAGAGGAGGGCTTGTTGCTTTTAGGAAAGCTAAATTTTTCTTGGAATAAAAATGAGCATATGACTACTAGTTTTAATGTTCTTGACTGTGGTGCCATTAGAATGTAATCATCAAGGGGTATGAAATTATTTTCATCAAAAAGTTATGGGGAATATCTTTGAAGGAACCAAGGTGAATTAAGCTGTGACCTTTTTTTTTGTCATATTGTCTTTCTGGATGTGCGCTCGCATAGATACTTGTTTTCTGTTTCAGAAATGAAGGGCTCTGTCCCTGTTTTAATAATCAGTCATAGGTGTAAACAAAGGGAGAAGTGATTTATGAGCAAACCTGCTGCTGCTTTCTTGGAAAGCATCGTGTGAGAAATAAGAGTCTCAAACCCAGCAAAGGAATTTGCTCCATCCATCCCCATCGAGGAAGAGAAAGTAAATGCTCCTGGAAACAGATGAAGACAAGAGCCCAAT